CTCGGTTGTTTTTACACGAAGCTCGGTCGTTTTTATGCGTTTTTGCATAATATGCAAAAACACATTGTGACGACCTCGATGTGCGTGACAGGCACCCAAGCAAGCTCCGGCGCCAAAATTTTGGGAGTGGGTTCCCCAGCCAAGTGCCACCCTAGGACCGCGGTACCAACCGTCAAGCACTTCTAGGCCCCGCGTACGAGCGCCTCAAATTTGTAGCGGGAAAATCGCTAACTCGAGAACCAGAAAAGCTAAAAAGCTGAAATTTTGGGATTATATTTCCAGTCCAAGTAGTACTCAAAGATTTCAGATTCAGCCGCCGGGGATCGCAGTTCCCGCGCACGGCCCCGTGAGGGTTCCTAGCGCGAAAATCGCTATCTCGGGAACCAAGAAAGCTGGGAGGCTGAAACTTTCAGGAAATTTTCCCAACTCATCTACAACTTCAGTTTATCAAATTCAGCCCCTCCTCCACTGTGCGTGGCTGCCACGTACGGCCTCGTGAAAATTTTTGGCGGGAAAATGGATAACTCCGGAACCAGGGGAGCTGGGAAGCTGAAACTTTCAGGAAATGTTTGCAACTCATCTACAACTTGAATTTATCAAATTCAGCCCCGCAGTATGCGTGGTTGCACGTGCGGCCCCGTGAAATTTTCTGGCTGGAATTTGGGTAATTCGGAAACTGAGAAAGCTGGGGACCTGGGATTTCAAGAGAATGGTCCCTGACCAAGTATAGCGTGGATAATTAACTTCCCGAAATTCGAGGACCAGTATTTAATGAGGTTACTAGTTAGCGAAATTTAGAATGATTGCAGCACGAAACACTGCAAAAGCACATGATCGCACGGGACCGCCAGTGCACGTTGCCAATGATTTCAGTAAATGCTTGCTTTGTGAAAAAAAGACAAATGCACATTTTTTTTAAAGTGCAAGTTTCCAGTTCACTAAAAAGTGAAAGCATTGCTCGAGCGGACGTTTGTGAAAAAATCCGAGTATGCAAATGAGCTTATGTTCATTTACATATACGATTGGGTTCGGGTCTGGATTGCTGACGATTTTTGGACTGAGGAGCTGATTGAGGCTGCGGTTGGGGTGCTCGACAGTTGAGTTTAAGATCTTTAACTTGCACGTGCATAGAAAATATCCCTGCAAAGCTTTAGCTTTCTACGTTGCCTGGTTCGCGGGATCGTTTCCCGCCAACATATTTTGGGGGGGGGGGGTCACGTGCGCAGGGTTTAAGCGCTTATGGGGTAGGATCTTAAAACGGGAGGATGACACGCGAGGTAAGAACATATATCCAAGGCTTCAGCCTGCCAGCCTTTCCGGTCGCTGAGATGGAAATGGGTGACGAAGTGCACTCGCTTTCCGAAAATACACACAGACAGCCTCTCGACAGTATGCGTTTTTGCTGGCTATAGCGCTGCACAGCAAAAACGCATAAAAAGCGCTGAGAATTTGGCGCATGAAGCACTTTTCTAGTCTCGCACTTTATCGGAAATTCCTCCCGATACCATGAAACATCGGCCCATTTTCCTATTTTCAAGTAGTGCTGAAGTAGACAAATGGAATGAAAAGGTGCTGAGGGAGATGCCCGGGACTGAGGCAGTAAGCGAGGCATCAGATTATGCTGCTGGATACGGATCCGATTCTGCCAGGCGTGTCATACTGTTAAGTGTTAACAAAGACCGCATGACCACACAGCAAGCAATGGGTTTGCCATGTGTGCTGCAGCTCAAAGTTTGAGCACGGTACATGATCACATATAATTTGAACGCAAGTGACGGAAAGCATCTGCCGGAAAGAACGTGCCATTGGTGAAAAAAATCTGCGGGGGAAATCTGCAAAAAAAACGCATCCTCGCATCGGCAGTCGGTGCGTTTTCAACTAGGTTTAGTTTTGGGAGGTGGTCGAGGTAGACTGCTGTTATTTTGTGAGGGGGAGGAAGGTTCGTTGTTGGTTATTTTTTGGGGAGCGGGGTGGGAGGGGACATGTCTGTTGGCCAGGTACAATGGTACTGCTCGAGAAGGGGGTGGGAGAAACGTGACTGTTGCCAGTCAAGTTGGGAGGGGAGGTGTGTTGCTACCGGTTCATCCTTTTGGGGCAGGAGAAAGGGAGGAGGGGAGTGTGCTGCGGTTAAGTAACTGCATTACTGCCTGTAAATGAAAGGGACCGTTGATTAATTCTGACTAACTTTGGAAGGGTGGAGTGGGGGTGGAGTTACTGCTTCGTCTTTTATGCGTTTTGTGCTGTGTAACAGCAGTACATAAAGAGCGGCACGCACCAGGGTAGCCGGTGCAATCATGCGTTTTGCGCAGTTCCGTCTAGTGAACGTTTGCCTGCCAAGGATTTCCACTGCTTTGGATTTTGGCCTGTGCAAAAATAATAGAAATGTCGTCCGGTTCCTAAGTTGTGAAATTTCCCACCAAAGCCTTGTACAGTAAACATCTTTTCAAAAGCAACCCCAAATTTTTTGGTTTTTGAGTGATTTTCGAGCCAAAACTTTTATGTAGCCGTACGCGAGAGCTCGGCATACTTGGAAAATAATTTAAGTTTGTGTGGCCATTACATAGGCAGAAAACATCCTCCTGAAATCTTCTGCCTCCTACCTCTTCTGGCTTCAGGGTT